TTTCACGTGAACAACAGTAACTAACAATGCATTTGACATATGCAAAAATGCTAGCTATTGTTATGCGCGAAAATATGAAACTTGGAGACAATACCCTGAATAATGAGAGGCTCACATTTGTAAACACAAAATTTCTGCCAAAATATTGGCGAATTGTAGCCCTTATTTTACTGCCTTACAATATATCAATAATCTTGAAACTAAAGAGTCATATAAAAGGAAGGTTAATCTCAAGAAAGTTATTTTTTGAAAAAAATCTATCGCGTGGTTTAAAAATTATTCGCTAATTTGTTAAAGTAGACCAAGATGTTCAAAAACCGCTAACAAAAGCGCCTCGATACATACTAATCAAATCCTTCTTTCTAGCAATCGGCTGGAGCTATCTCCATGGTCTTTCACACACGTTTTTAAAAAGATTGAAACTACTATCAGGTGAAATTGCATGTCAAAAGCGCTTCATCTTCTACAGATAACAGCCGAACATCAAGATTATCCATTTTTTAACGTATTTCTAACCACAAAATCTTGATCCCAAAATATCTCGATAACGCTCTTACAGATTTCGCTTAAACTTCACGAACATCGAGGCGGCTATTAGAGGAAAAAGCTCCCGTGAAGTAATACCCTGATCATAACAAATTTTCATCTTTATCTAATACAACTGTGGGGGCAATTTTTCAAAAACTTTGTTTATGGCGACGTAGCTTATGCTCAAACTTGGGAGGTATTGGCCTTGAAAAACTGTATCGAGCCACCTTAAATCTTATGTAAGAAGACTGAAGCTTCTTTACCTGATTTTGCTAAGAATCATAATTGCAAATGGAGGGAACTATATTTAAAAAATTACCAAAAAAACCAAAAAATAGTAAAGAAATAAATAAATAGACCTTTTTACCGATACGGCCGCTATTTGAATTCATTCGATTTAAGGAGTATTATAGGATGCTCAGGGGGCATGAGCACATTTCGTTTGCATTTTCGAGCGCTTTTCGGGACATTTTTTCGTAAAGTTTTCTTAGAATAATATCGTTAAGGGCAAAAAGATCTTTGTGCCGTGTTTGGATGTAATAATGATCGCCTTTTTTCCCGAGAAATATACAGTGAAAGACCATATTTCTAATACTAAACTAGAAAAACACGGCACAAGGATCTTTTTTCCCATTACAATCTTATTCTAAGAAAACTTTAAGAAAAAATGTCCCGAAAAGCGCCCGAAAATACAAACGAAATGTGCTCATGTCCCCTGGGCATCCTATAATACTCCCTAAATCGAATTAATTCAATATGGCCGCCGTATCGGTAAAAAGGTCTATTGAAATTACTGAATAGTAATAGAAAAGATAGAGAACATTGAGCTGGTCGACCATGTCAGTTTGTGTTCGTGAGCGGCCATCATTTTAGTTCTTCCATGTATGAAAATTTAACGAGGAGAGTTTATTTTGCAAAGAGCAATTAGCACTGTCTGAAAAATTCAATACCCACTTAACATCATTGATAAGGGAAGTTTACAGTCGAATAAAGAAATGTTAGCGTCCGAATTCTTATTAAAATATTATAGGCCTCTGTGAGTATTTAGACATGCTGAAGTTGACGCTTGTCAAGAAGGCAACGAATTCAGTTACTTGCAAGGAAGTAAATTATTTGAAGGGTATGTTTTTGAAAGAATTTGAAAAAATTCGTCGGCCTGGGGAAGACTCCGATTTGAAATTACTGATTATTCAGTTCCACCTTTCCACAGTAGACAGAAAACTTGTCAGTTTCGCTCAAACTGCGGTTTGAAAGTTCATCTTGCTGGTTATTAAATTCGTTAATATCATGGTCTGTTAATAATAGCCGCAGAGAGCAGCAAGCAGCAGAAGGTGCGTGTTAGGGCGAATCAAATCGTGCCGATTTTCACGTAATCAATATTCACCGTTTATTGAAACAGGATATGGCATTGTGAAAACAAGTTCATTGTCGAGCGAGTTCCTTTCTTTGTTCTACTTGACAGTAGGTACAAATATATGTTTTTAATTACGCCGTTCACATAAGTTAGAATATCATCACGCGGCTTTTCTGCTGTGACTGCCTTATCCTACCGTAACAGAGAGATAAAAAAAGAGAGATATAAAAATATACTGTTCATATTCAAAAGCAAACAATATCATTTTAATGTACACAGGCCGATTGAATCAAGACCGTTGTTCGTACCGTGACGACTGTATGGCCAAAACGTGAAATGAATGAAATTGTAGCTCTTAGAAACCCTCATACATCGCTAGCAGAAACGCCCACCATAATGTCATAATTACAAATTCATAATGACAAAACATTATAAAAACAAAGGTGGCGGTAATAATAAAGATTGTTTTGCACCTGCGCGCTTCATCGATTGGGTTTCACGCAACGCGCTAACCAGCACGCGCCAACGAAAACCGCGCTGGTTGATGCGACCGACGGTTTGTAGTCGTGCACTTGGTTTATAGAGTGAAATGATCGCTTAGTCTGTCTGCCATATAGCCCAGGAAGGAGAAAAAGTGCTCAGCGAGGCAGAGAAAGCGGTAAACTGAAAGGATGGCGGATACTTCGGATCTTGTTTTAGTTGCGGTGGATGAATGTGATCACAGTGAGCGAGCCTTTGAGTGTGAGTAGAAATGAATCGTTTCCTTAAAATAATTTTGTGATTAAATCTAAAAAAAAAATGTTTAAGGCGTTTACACACGGACCATGGAAAAGGATATATTTTTGTGATATATATACATAGCAACACACCTCATACTAACACAGCCCCACACTATACTGAAATCGAAATTTATCGTCATCAGCGGAACTCTTTCAAGTGTTTCGTTCCGATTTAAGATTACTTTAAAAAACAGTTCGGACAAAACAGAGTAGTATTAGAGTGGTTCTGAAAGGGTTTATATCTTTTGCTGCCTATTCTCTGACGCCAAACTCCTGATCAAGATACATATCGTTCTTGTCATCAAAATACTTGTTGACGATGGACGGAAAGACACGTTCTTCTCAGTCATATGACATCAGAAGTAGTTTACATTTGAAGAAATTATAGATCCTTGCTGTTTTCGGAAAGGGTTGAAATTGAGCGATCGTGAGCATATAAATTGGATAATTTTGAAAATTTCGATGTAATTTCTAGCATTTATGGGCTTAAAACAGGAGCTACATTTAATAAAACACGCCAAAATTAATGTCTTCTGATTAAACTCTTGTAACAGTTTTTTCGAAGCAAGAACTTAGCTGAGAATTGCTTCAACGACTTAATATGACCAAAGTACAGTACATTTTATTTAGTAATACAGTTGGAGGGTGTTTAAAACACGGAAGCATAAAATGAAAAAAAAAAATGTAAATAAATACATGTATCGGCTTACTCGTATGTTGCCGGTTAAGTAACAATCGTCGTCTAACTTACAGGAATATTTCAAGTAAATTATTTTACATAGGAGGTAATCTCGACGCTGCGTCCAGCCCTGATCCGTGTACGATGTCTTTTTCACGATTATTAACTCGGTATAAAGCGCAGATTCATGTTCTCATGTAAAAGTTTTACTGCAACAACGAAAACAGCGAAATAGGAATTGCCGCAAGCGGGACTGAGTTTAAAAAGGCGAATTTTTTATTACCAGAATTGATGCAATTAAACTGATTAAACTTTAAGTGTCCGTATTCGTAAATCTAGTGTGCATTGTTTCAAACAGCGTTATCATATAATATCTCTCAGAATTTCGTGGCAAGATTGAAACAGTGCGTGTATTATTTTTACTGGAAAATGCTCGAAAATCCCCTTAATATGCTTTAATGCTTTACTTACAACATCGATAACTTCTAGCTGAAAGACTTTTTCCAAACTGTGCCAGTTAAGAGAAAATTGAATATTTCTTTATTAAAACATTTTGAGGGGCAAAGTCTTTTGCCGCCGGCCTGTGTTTTGATCCGATGTAGGGAAATTTACTCTTGCTTGCGGTAATTTTTCCAACCGAGGTTTCTTGAGTAATAAATATTTAAATAAGAAAAAGATCACAAAAGTGCTTAATCCGCCCACTCAGTCATTTAGGAGGTTGTTAGAACCAGACAGACTCTATGATCTCTAAAAAAATTAAAATACATACATATATATATATATATCGAGCCTTGCGACTGTATCAGGTGTTTAAACTTTGTGGCCTTCAATTTTGAATTTTTTGTTTCTTTTGTTAATGCTAGAACGAACGGACCAGAAATCAATTTAAAAAAAAAACAGATAAAATAATGATAAAAAGATAAAGCAGAAAAAACAAATTCTCCTCAGCTTATTTTTCATTTTTCTCATTGTCAAAGAAAAAGTTGCACATCACAATCACGCGTCTTTTAAATTCTTACAGTGTTCCGCTGTATGTATATCTATGTTCCGCCTGTCAAATTGGTACTAGTCAGAGCACGCTAGACTGGTCATTCTAAATCTCTAGTAGCCGGATTGCGCGCTAATGGCCTGTTTACACAGTTTGATTCCTCGATGGCGAATTTACACGCTTTGATTTATGGGGCTGATCTTTCCCTCCAAAGAAAATGCCGAATTGAAAAACTGGCGTAAAATTGGGTCGGTTTTTGTGTTCACCATCCATTCACTTTAGAAACTGTCGTTATTTGGAAATTCTGATATTTTCACCATATCACTACGTACGAGCTAAAAGGAAAGTTTAGAGCCTTCGTGCTCAGATAGTGGGGACCGCCCAAAGAGACGTGAGCAGGAAAAAACACTGAGAAGGAAAGGGTGAGAGGGGTCAAAAGAAAGGCCGTACTCTCTGTCCCCCCTCCCCCTGAGGCCTTTCTTCAGCATTTTTTCTCTCCCCATTCGGCTGCATTTTGCGCTACTTTCTGAACTCCGGGAACAAGCAAAAGCAGCCCAATGACGGGGTTTTTTCAATGACGGACAGAGTTCTCTTCTTTAGGGCTTTAATTCCAACGATCCGACGAAAATCTCCACCCCTTTCACATAGAGTCCTCCCAAGATTTATTAGATGCTTTTTTATATTAAGTGCTTGTGTTAATTTTTTTTCAGGGTATTTAAGTCATGTTCATAAAGATGGCAACTCGTTGATCGTGCTCTATTGTCACGAGAAGCTGGATCCACCCGCTTTGCTACGTAAGTTTTCACTTCTCACTTGAGCCTGCGTGCAGACGTCTCCTATTTCGTATTTCATGCAACAAGCTAAAGAAGTAAGAGACGTCTGAACGCAGGCTACTGTCACTTTGTTTGCGCCTCTTAACGATAGCGGTAACATAATTTACCTTAAGGCATGGACAACTAGGAAAATTTGAATACTTTGAATTTACTTTATTAATCAAATCATACTTTATTAATCAGATAAACTTTGGAAAAACGAGTGCGATAAAAAATTAATTCGCTACAAAAAACTTTAAAAAGACGAACTTGACCTCTGTCACTTATGACAAACATTCAAAAACTGATAGTTATGCCTCAAGAGGTAGTCCTCATTATCGTGTCACTGAAGCTTGTTAAATATAAATTATAGAGGCGGCTTTAACTAGTAACTAAGAGGCAGACTTTAAACAGGTATGAAAATTGATCACAAGGAGAGTCAGGTAGACAACGGTCACTGTTTGTCTTCCCTATGCTTCGAATACTCGTTTGCATTTTCTTAAAATAAATGAACAAATTATTGTATTTTGCAAAATTTAACCCGTAATTATGAACATCACAAACTGTGTATCCCAGTTTCACATTTGGAGGGTGCAAGTAATTCACGTGAAAAGTTTCCTGGCCAATGGGGAGAGGAAAGGTACTTTGGTTATGCTTCCATATAGCAAACACGAGTTTAATGTTTTTAGAAAAACAATCGCTATTCTTGCAGATTCCCAGCATTCGGAGGAGTGGAAACAAACTTTGAGGGAACATGAAGAAAAAAAGGACAGGGTTATTGAGAAGTACAAGACAAAATGCGAGCAAAAAAGGGTGAGAACATTGACTGTTATCATTAAGAACATACTTTTAAACAGTTCATCTAATCACCAGTTCTCTCTCCTCACAGAGGTCCCCGCTGGGTATCCAATAAAAGGGACCTTAAGATCCCACGACGGCGACGGCAACGAGAACTTCAAAAAAGCAATAGGTTTGATAAGCAAAACAAGAATTTTGCACGTGCACCACGCCTTTTTGTACATTTCTTTGCCAGCACTGCACGACTGCGACGTGAAACTTCCTAAATTCACGTTTTATGGCGGAAGTAAACAAACGACGACAAAATTTTCTCTCTTTTTTTGAACTTGAAAATTGCTCTTAGGAATTCAGAATTCGCCAATATTTGACAAAATAAGTGAGTTGCAATGATAGCGATGAAGATTGAAAGAACGCGAGCTCACTTTTTAGGCGATGTTTTCGCCACCGTCGTCGTCCTCAGATCTTAACGTCCCTAAAAATAGCTTGCACGCGGGGGACGATAGGGCCTCTGTCATATAATGCATTCAAGATGGCGCCGGGTTTCCGAGGAACACTGGAGCTAAGTCGCACCCTCTTCAATGTTTACAAAATGGCAGATATGCTTCAACAGATTTCCCTTTTCGTGCGACCCTTTCCCCTTCCCATCGTCTCCCGCGCGCTTTCTTTTTTCCCCTCTACCCAGCCTCTCTACGACACGAAGAGGCCGCTGCGGAGGAGAGAGACACAAGTTGAAAGCGGCACTTAAGGTTATACGCGGACGATTCGCACCTACGAATTTTAGCGCAACAATCGGTAACTAGACTTCGACATGCTTTAAATATAGCAAAATGGTTTGCTCATTGTCGCAGAGCTTCTTATCATATCTATTGTTATGGAGTTTTGCTTTGACTGTACCGGGAGTCATCTCTAAAGTTCTCAGTAATTTAATGTCAATAGTCATATTACACGTTAGTTGGCGTTGATACTAATTTCTCATTATTATGCGCTTTTTTTTTCAGCTGAAGGCAAAAATCAAGGTGGAGTTCGGTAAGGCCGGAGAGACTATCCACAGAATTGCTGAAGAAGAAAAAGTCAGTTTTATCGTAATGGGAGGCCGCGGGCTCTCAACACTGCGGCGAACGCTTCTAGGAGGAGTCAGTGATTACGTCATGAAGCATACCCAGATCCCTGTTTGCTTCGTGCCAGGGCACGGTGGACATTAAAAGGAAGGGGTCTGGGCTATTCCTTGGCTGAATGCATACAAAAATGAAGCTATTACAATTTTTTTTGTTAATTAAGTCTGTTTCATTCTTGACCTAAAAAAAATGCTTTTTTGATGCATTATTAAACAAATGTGATCAGTTTAGAAGCAAGAAATTTATTAAAATGATCACCAAAGAGCGAATGTACTGAATCAGTATTTCAAATTCTCTCAACTAATTCTTTAAAGATCTTTAAGGAAATGTATAGAAATCTGTTTGGAGAATTTGTATGTGGATATCGGGGCTTAAAGGGTTTCAGCTTGTTTCGAGGTCAGCTCACCGTGGGAACGAAGCTGGCGACCTTGTGTTTACTTTCCAGCCGTTCAGTTCCATTTGGTCTCCCGCTTTCTAAACTGCACATACAGAGATTGTCATTATTTTAATTTATTATTACGACTCTTTCGTTGGGATATTCAGACCATTTAAGATATACTTCAAATGGTAAATTCTAAGTAAGAAATACTAAAATGACAGATGGGCTATATAAAATAACAAGCAAACAAGGTTAGCAGATTAGTTTTGCTCGGTTGGTCCATAAAGTGATTATAGCTCTGTCCTAACAGAGCTATTATCTCCGAGTTTAGGTCCGCCTTTGAAAATTTACAGCGATGATTTCAACACATTATCAACGGCACAATAATTTCTTTTTAAAGGTAAGCTAATGAGCTCTTTTTCGGTCCACCGCTCATTATTACAAGCATTTTACAGGCAATTGAAAGTGTGATTCGATTTTTCTTTGTGAACTGTTCAGATACAAGAACTGTTAATTATCTTTTGTTCTGCTAGTGAAGGAGAAACAAAGGGTGCCTTGTGAAGCGAAGAAAATAAATGTACTTTTAATTTGCCTTCTGCTTCCACGGTATCTGTGTACATTTGTCAGCTATGAATATTTAACAGTCGGTTTAAGTCAAATATTTGATCAAACAACTGAAAGTGACTTGGTTATTTCGCGTAAGAAACTGGTCATTTTTGTGTTTAGTTTAGCAGGATAATGTTGCCATTGTTTTCAACCGACTTCGTCATTTCCTAGAAACATCAAAGCAGGCCATTTTGATTACTTTCATTAACTTAACAAAGGCCTCCGCAAGGAAGACTTTATTTGTCATGTACAAGCGACGAATACGAAATCCCTAAATCAGAAAACAATGATATCAAGCGAAAGACCATAGTGAGCATAAGTATCTGGTTCATTTACTTTGGATTAAAAGAGTAAAAACTCTACAGAAAATAACACAAAGCCGCACGGAAAGGGAACATGAGCGAAAGAAATGCACATAGCAAAAGCTTACTGGATTTTGGAAAAGCTAGCATGTACGTTATAGCTGAAAATGGACTACAAAAAGAAACAGCGCATCATCAAATCGAACAGACAGGTGAAAAGAATTCATTATCGGCGAAAAATATTATATTTTCGCGCACGAAGGCAATTACCTTCAGCTGGAAAGAGATTCATCCCAACGCTTCTGAACGTAACAACAACGTCAGAGTATTGGATTTGAACGACTCTCTGCGAGGCGTCAATGGAAACAAGAAAAGTTACATCAATACTCTAAGGACTAAGGGATTTGCAGGTACAGACTGGCAAAAATGTCGTTCAACTCATCCCCACTGCTATTTAAAGGCGTTAGGAGTTAACGATTTGAAACAAACTTCTAACGACCACAAACGAAAGCCTTGTTTGCGTCCAGTCGAATTAGATGAAGGCAGTAAAAGTGGCATCTGTGGCTGTAAAGAAGACAGATGGGCAGAAAAAAAATTGACGAGAGCCGAAACCGGTGACAATCAGGAGGATTGTATTCTGGAGTGTTTATACGAAATGAAACCACTGCCCCGCAGCAGCTCAGATTCAATGCCAAGTGAACCAGGTAATGAGGACTCTGCAAAAGGACCGGTTGTTGAACAGGCTGATGGGGAAAGCGAGGAGAACAATCTTCCTAGTGTCCTGACACTCAATTGCAAAAAAGACGAAAAACCTACCGGAAAACGTTATTTGAGGAGGATATTTTATGCCAAAGGAAACGATTTATGGAATCCTGGTAACCAAGAACATCTACCTCAAATACAGAAGAAAACAAAAAATCAAACAGGGACGGCTTTGGCGACTATGGATAATTCATCCGCAGGAAAGATGGATCAAAACTCGCCAAACTCGGCAAATTGCTTACATATAAACAATCAATTTCTTTTGCCGCTTAATACCTGTTTTTTGAAAAGCAGAGGAAAACAAAAACATCATCTTAACTCGACAGTTAAACTACCCACTGTGGTGGACAAAAACACTGGTCAGATCCATTTAGCCCTTGGAGCGATCGCTTATGAACCAAGCGACTACAACAAATGGTCGCGAAAGCAGAAACGCATACCACCCGGAAGTACAAAAATTCAGTCAAGTTTTCCATATCCTTTTGTATTAAAATAAAGCAGAGAAAAAGAAAAAAAAAACGAGAGGAAAACATATGTGCAGCAACTTCCCGGCATCACTGCCTGAGGTGGAAGTGAATTGATTTTTGGATCTTTTTCAGACCACACGCACAAGATAACGCGCAAAGTGGATAGTTAATGTTGTTTTCAATTAACTGAATCTCAGGGAGATTCTGGTAGAAATTTGCATTTTGCAATCCTTCGAAAAGAAATACATCAGATACATCTGCGATTGAACAAATGTTGTTGATTGAAGATGAAAATTTACATAACAAGTCTATAAATACTGTTTTGACTGAACTGAAAATAACCAAGAGACAGGTGTCTTCTCTGAAAGCAAAATAGAATCGTTTGATGATTTAGTCTATTCACGTTCTAGCCGCAAGGTTTCCCAGTAATGTTTCAAGCCACATATTAATGTTTTGAAATTTGTACCAAAATTATGGCATCTCGGCTAAGGCCTCGCCCCTAATAATTCCTTTTTTTTGAAACTTGTGCATTTTATTTTTGTATTTGGCCCTAAGTCGATGCTAAAACTGAAAAATTGACGAAAAGTGGGGCTGTGGACGCTCGGCTTCCTTACTTAGACTGAACAGGAGTCTGCGGCTGTACAGGGTATGGTTTCGAGGGTCGTTTGTCTTAAACGGGGTTTACCTACTCACTACTTTAGCCTCTCCAACAGTGTGAAATTAAGTTAAGGAACGTAGCTTAATAGCAGACTGTGGCATAGTGGTGTTAGTGCGCCCGCGCCAGCATATTTTAATAGATATCGCTTATACTTACGAAAATTAAAAGTATTACATATTTTTTATCTATTCAGTTTTTTCCTGGTTCTCTAGTTACTTAAAAGAACAACATTTTTTATAGTATTAAACAAGGGGTGAAATTTGGGTTGCCCTCTGAAACAGGGTTACAAAATAAGGGGTCTTAATTCAACTGGGTGCCAAAATGGGAAAAAAGAATTGTCTTAAACCGAGACAATATGGCTCCATTTAAAAAGCTGCATATACCATTCTATTTTATAGGTCATAAACATCAGTTAGTTTTTTTTCCGCACAACGACAAGAACAAAAACACTGGCCTTGATTAACAGCACTGTGACACAGTTATGGAAGCTGAACAGTGACTTAAGTTTTCTTCCTAATTTTGTTTTTCGTTCGATCTAGACCAAATGTCATAGTCACTTTGTTTGAAAATGAAATTTTCCAAATAGAATTCTACTGGAGTCTTTCTTGAGAAGTAACTGTCAATTTCTTGAACGGCATTTCACACTTTGCTTCGTCCTCTTTTGATATTCGCCTCTAAGCGCTTCTTCCTCGTCAGTTTGTACGAGATTTTTCTCTTGTAACTGTCGTGAAATTTTAGCATTCAACCTTAACTTGTCTGCATCCTGCTTCACCTTCGTAGTGCATGACAACGGGAGCTCTTTCTTCCACCAGTTTTGATCCGTGCCCGAATTATTAGTAGGTCGAACAGCATCGCTTTTCCACACAACTCTGTCACGCTTAAACTGTCCACAATTCACCTGCTTTGTTTGTAAACTGCAGAGCGTTACAGTCATGCTTTGTGAGTAAATTATTCTTCCCTTGAAATTTTTGGCCTTGTCTTGTTCTTGGTCCGTGATATCATTATATCCTTGTTGGAAGCTAAATCTAAACGGAGTTGGGATTTTTTGATATTCCAATGGTTCTTTGCCAAGATACAATCCACGTACAATCCTTGGCCTTCGAATTAATATCTTTTCTCTTCCAAGAGAAGCTGTTTCAAACGACGGATGAAGTCGATTATTGCTCGGATCAGAGCAGCACTCTTGATGTAAAAAATTGCACCTTTTATACCACAATCTGCCGGCCTTTCGTTGAAACGTATGATGGCTTCCTTTGTCCTGTGCCATTATAACTCATTTGGTTATCTTTGTTGAAGGATACAATTGAAGAAAAGATTAAAAAATGGATGAAAACTACATAACACAAATTTTCATGTGGTGAATTAATTGAATTAGATCGGAGGAACTATTTATTTTCGCTGTATCCACTGACCAAGCAGGTTTTCGTTTCGAAAATAACTTTATTGTCAAATCGTTTTCGGAAGAATGACAGCATTTACATTTTATGACATTTAGATTGCTAGTCGGTTTAAATGAACCATTTTTCTTGACAAAATGCCAGCCGTCCTTTAGAGTAGAAAAACAAAAACAAAAAAGGATAATAACTTGGCTTCTCAGATGCGTATTTATAAATATATTTTTCGATCCCCTTAGTCTCAATTTTCAATATTAATCATCTAACCAGAAAATGTCTAGTTTTTAATGTCACATTTTCTTGACTCTGGCAGGTCTGTTATCTCCTCATTTTATTAGACTTTTGGCATGTAAACAAAACCTGCCAAATACAAGCCAGTTCTTTCTTTCCTCTGAATTTTGAAATGCACTGAAAATGAGGGTTTCTAGCAATAAAATTAATTAATTCTGATGTGCCAGCCGCCAACCTTAAATTCGCGAAGGAAATTAAAATCATGCGCAGACCAGACCAGGGCGCGTCACGATGATTCCCACAAGTGACTACAAATCCTTCTTTCGACTTCTTTAAGTGACGATGCCCTTGGTCATCTCTCGCTGTCACTGAGTTATTAGCCGTGATGTTATTGGCTGTGAAGACACTAAATGTGATTGGTGCGTTTTGATCCGTGTTTTGTCAGAGTTATACGGTCGTTTATTGTTATTCAAACTGTTGGTTGTCAAATCATTCTCTGGTAGTTAGCTTTGCTTGAGTGCGTCAATACGTCGTTTGTAAGGTGCCGGTAACTGTTAACTCCAATTCAGTGGAGTTTGTAAATGCTTAACTGACAGACGACCAATAACATCACGTTTTAACTGAGAGATCGATGACCAATAACATCACGGCTAAACTGACCGACCGGACCAATAACATCGCGACGTACTGGCTGACAAACGACCAATTACGTGACGGCTAAACTGAGAGACGACTAATAACATTACCGCTTAACTGAGAGATGACCAATGACATTACGGCTTAACTGAAGGGGCCTAATACAGCTTCGTGTGGTACAACCCACGCAATGTGACATTTATCGCATATTAGCGGGCCAAATTGAATGGTCTGTGTACGATAAGGCTATGAAATGCCTCAGTAAATGTCTTATCAGGTGATTCATATTTAATTCTAAAACTTATTAATTATTCATGCTGTCAAAAGCCAATAAAGGACGACCATTTAGGTTATGTGGATGAATTTTGATTTCTAATAAAACACCAGATACAAAAAACCACTAGGTTTTCATCTCAGATGAAACATATTTTTTCGTCTGACATCAAACACTTGCTTTTTAATGAAATGTTTTACTTATAAACAACGAACTCATGGAAACAAAGCAATACAAGGGAAAACACCCGGGCGGGGTACTCCCATACATTACCTATACGGGTATGTGCCGCCCAACGGGGTCGTGATTTTGAAGCTCCTGATTTAGAACGGGGTATCCATTTCAGAGGCGTTTTCTAGAACGGGGTATAAAAAATTGTGGATCACGGGGTTATCTTCTGCTTAAAATTGTTTCTGATTATGAAGAAGCATTTATTTGATGTATAAGTCGAACAAATAAAGAAATATCTTTTTTTTTAAAAAAAACAGGGCTATTTCAATTTACAAACTTTCTAGAACGGAGTATAAAAAATTGGACCATTTCTAGAACGGGGTATCAATTTTAGGGGAATTTTTTTTTAGAACGGGGTGCCAATTTGGAGTCCTGGGCGGCACATACCCATCCAAAAAATACCCAAGTGCCCCCCCCCGGGGGGGAACATGTCACTGCATAGTTTTCTATTGTTTCATTTTAGAGGACATGTCTAAAACTCGGGCTTCGTGCTTCATCACGGGTTCCAAACACGTCGAATAAAAAGGTGAAAGCACTCGGCCTACGACCTCGTGCTTTCATCTGTTTCTTAGTGTTTGGAACCAGTGATGAAGCACTCGCCCTCGTTCTAAACATATTACGTGAACTATAACTATTGATATAACTGAAAATCCAACCCCGCCTGTGCTCAAAGGGGTGATCGGACACTATGAAAGTCATGGCATGGAATTTTTGGATGAAGTGCTAATTCATTGGAGGTAGTGATCTTTGTTTCGTTTAATCTAAATGTATCAAAGTGGTAACCAAGGTCATTTAATAAATGGGTTTGGAAGCTTTCAATATTCGTTCTCAAACTCATTTAATAATTCATAAAGAAAATATTTAAAAAAATGCTTAACGAGTGTGCACGCACTGTTTAAAAATTTCCTTGGGTGTCAGTCAGGCTTCTTAAAACGGCAAAAATGATTACTTGATTTATTCACCTTCTTGTGCTTAGTGGCTTTATATTGTCCCTTCATTGCACATCGGTAAGTTTGTGTTGTTGTAAAGCGTAGTTGGTGCGATGTTCTTATGCATGATGCGAATTGATTATTTCTGTAAGTTTGAATCAGAACGTATGTTCTGGATTCTTGGTCGTTAGAGATTAGATGTTCAAAAATTAGAAGCAGAGCATCATATTAGTTACAGGTTCATCGAGCTCGACATGTCCACCGAGCTCGATCAACAATACAACAAGAATGTTTGAGAGGTTGGGGAAAAATTAACCGGAAAAGTAATGATGCGTCAAGTGCATTTGCTTACTTTGTTCAACACGTCCTTCCGTACCACTACCATGATTACTGATGTATTATTATCATAATAATTATTATTAATTCTCTTGGACTCGTGCTCTTTCCTCTTATGGAGCCGAGTTCATTCCATGAGCTCAGGGCAGTCATAAGACTCGTGGATTACAGTGATGGATAGTGACTTCCTGAGTATGTGAGCAGTCCCAAGGAGGACAATCTTCGGAAGCTCTGTTATTCTGATGTTTCCTGGGATCTTGCTGATGTAGTTTTCAGTCCCATTCTTGACTAGCCTGTGCCAGGCTCTCAGATAGTATAGTGGGGAAGTATTAAAACGAGCAAAGCGAAAATAAGACGCGCGCGACTTGGGAAAGGGAGTGATGGCTGCGGGAAAAATGCGTTTTCCGCATTTTTTTACACTGAACGACTTTCCACCATCATCTCGGAGCCTGGAACAGGCTAATTCTTGACAAGCGAGAGAGCATCAATGACCACCGAGACCGAGTTGTCGTTTTTAGTTTCCATGTTTTCTCAATTTCCGGTATTTCGAGATCCTTGTACTTCGAAAGTTTTTCTTCTGTTTTTAAAGAGGTATTTGTTTTAAATTGGGGACAGATATATCACTGGGCAGGCAGGTCCTCTTCTCCTTGTCTGTCACTACTATGTCTGGCCTGTTTACCTTAATCACTTTGTCTGACTGGACTGGCATGTCCTAGAGTATAGTCACTGCGTTGTTTTGAGTTACTCAGTCGATGGCTCATGTTCGTAATATTTATCGTGCACTTTGATGTCATAGTGCTGGCATATTGCCCATTGGAGGTATGCTGCTGCCTTATTATGTCTTTGTTCGTACTTTGTTTTGACACGTTCAGGACATCCTGAGACGTGGTGGTCCACTGTTTCCTGGCGTTGGTTGCAAATCATCCACACATTATTATTATTATTATTATTATTATTATTATTATTATTTAATTTATGACAGTTAAAGGCGCCTATCTATACGGTTAATAACAATACGCCAAATTAACTTTTATTTTGGTATTCTGACTTACTTTGCATCGTATCAAGAGAGAATGAAAGGGCAGAGTTAATCCCCATATAGGTCCCTGATCCCCATAGTTGCCCCTCTTATGTTATTTTTGGACGGCGCCGATTTTCCCGCGGAAATGATCAACACCTTACCTCGCGACACGTGAAAGATTTGTAGGAAGGAAATTCCAAAATACTAATGAATTCGAAATGAGAATAGTAATTATAAGTTTTAAACCTGATCCGAGTCGAAATCTTTTCAACATGAAAACCCCGAGTCATAGCGAAAGAAAACAAGTTTAGATTCATTTTGTGGGCTGTTGAGGAAGCGCATCCAACGGTGACAAAATCATCAAGTTTCGTGCGCTCATAACACCTTGACGTAAGCCGAATTGTTTTGCTTGATCGCCCTGGCTGAGGAAATTGTCATCGCTTTGATTTTTAAGGGAAAAATATTGAACTGTTAAAGACCAGTGCTATCTATAAACAGCTGCTAACTACAAAGAAACACGAGATAGCTGAAGACACAACGCGTGAGGTGGACAAAGACTTAAATATCTGTTGATCGCTTTCGGCAAGTCTATATGAACTTTTCGATCTCATTTCAATCGTAGTTTTCTTGACGCATTCTGTTTGTTTACTTTTAAACATGTGCAAGCGCTGGCTTTTCCCACTTGTTCCTCCATTTTGCTTGACGGTCAGTGCACGAATAACGCGAAGACTGAAATGGCGAGAGAATCTGCTCAGTTGTTGACGGGTAAAAAACGTGACTTGGCTATTTAACTAACCTGTTGGGAATCAGCGTTCTCACTTCTCAGAAGAGATGTAAAAATGGCTTAAGAGGGAAAACGAATTTGATAGGGCCTGATGGATTAACCTCTGGTGTATTCACCCTCTTGTATTTAAAACGGGGAAACTGACAGCATCGTTGTGAGGGTTTCTTTAGTTCTTGGAAATCAATAAGGAGAGGAAAGTCAACAATGGCTGACAAAATTCTTGGGACACTTGACACGATGCGGCTTAAACTGACTCTCCTCCCTTCTCACCCCCAAGCGGTGTTGTATTTTGAGCACCCTTTCCACTTTACCTGTCCTGAAAAGTGTTTGTTTATCCCAACATTGTTTGGGGGAAGGGGAGGGCAGGGGAGGGCCATTAGGGGCATCCGAACTATTGCAAAAGTAGATATTATGGTACATTTGCATATTTAATATGTTACCGCTGTCGAAGAAAGGTTTTCAATAATTGTCCCAAGGATTTTAAGCCTCCATTATAGGAACGAGGGGAGGCTGAGAACGAGATAATTCCATCAAATTCCTTTAATGCGAGAACGCTTGTTTATTTTTTCAGGGCAAGGTTCTCAAAGACGTTCAACAAAGTGCAAACGGTAAGCATGTCAGCTTCTTAACAATTGAACAAAGCGGAGACAAAGAAATATAGGAGGGGATTTCAATTGCCTTCAAGAAGTGTAATTGAGAAAGACCTCACGTGATAGCTAGTGTTGGCTATGGTGGTGTTAGGAGGGAGTGGGGGGCGGGGGGCTGGGAGCGGGGGGCAGGGAGCTGCGAGCGGGGGACGGAGAGCGGGAGGCGGGTGTGTTTCATTCTGAGACTTTATCTACGACTCTTTGCCGTATGTTTTAAATATTTAGTTTTTTGCTGTTCTAAAACATTAGTAAAAAGGATACTTAGCAGCGATTCAGAAAAAAAAAACATCATAAAAAGATTTTGTCGAAAACTTTTGTTTTCATTTTTTCCTCGCCTCACGTGCCCGTTAAGTTAGGCCTGGTTTATGCCGGTATCACTGAATGTCGGGTACGGCGATTGCTCAATTTTTGGGGATGATCCTCTTTTCACCCCAGTAGCCTCTCATGCATGAGAGGCACTTACTTATTATCGCTTGGACCACATGAACACAGTATTTTGGGACACGCCGGTTTGCTGCACTTCTTTCCCCTGTGACACATGCCTATGCACAGAATGACCCCTTGTGCCGGTTCCAGCTTTGATCATTCTGAAAGACAGTGCCTCTTTTTTTGTAGGATTGTTGTCAAGAAAAAGAGGACTGATTGAGTTTTTTGTAATGATCAAATGCAAGGCTAGTAGAAATCCATTTGACTTTAATAATTATGGCTGCTGGTGTGGTCTCGGAGGAAAAGGCAAACCTCTTGATGAAGTTGACAGGTAATCAAACAACGACTAAGACCCTATCTACAATAACACGGTTTTGAAAACCTATTTATCGAAGCTCAGTCAGCACCTGTGCTCAGGAGTCTAGTATAGGCTCCTGCCATACTAGAGTAGTTGCCTGATTTCAATTTAAGCCATCGAAAACGTTCTCGCGGCCATAGACTCCTTCCACGATTTTTTCAACTTTCAACTGTGACCAATTAAGCAAAAAACTCGTCAACACGGCTGAATAGAACGCCTAAAATGACTAAAGTTAGCAAAGTTTGAAAGTGATTTGTTGAAAACTAACGATAATACAGCTTTGCAAAGTCGCGCAATTGTACAGATGTTTATGTGGCGAGGGGCAAGTCCGTCCCCCACTTCTGTGAAACTTCGCGACTTTGCAGAGCAATAGGGACTTTTTAAAGATTCATCGAAGCGACGGCAACAAAAACCTTTAAAAAAAACAATGGGTTTAAGAAGCAAACTTATTAGCGGATAAAAGAGCATATATCATGGAAATTATTGGGAAGTTGTTGGCGCGAAAAAAACTAATGCCATGCAATATTGTCGTCGAAATAATGGAAAATCATTACCGCTGTTGCAATGTGGGATAAAAGGGGGCAAGAAAGTGAATAAATTTGCCAATGCAAGAAATCGCGGTAAAGGTTGTTTATTATAGACGACAGAAAATGAAGAACTTTTCATCTACGATAATAGCCCATTATCGGTGGACAGGTGGAAGTGATCAAGAATGTTATCTTTTTGGGCTCAGGAGCGACCGCAGATGTCCTCACAGCGAGCAATAATGACGTACTTATTGTCGAAACTCGAACTGTGTATTTTGTATGACTATTTGTCTTCTCGTTTTTTTTGTTTTAAATCGACAGCGATTATTCGTGTTGCCAAATTTACCACTTGTTTGCCCCTTGATCCCCGCAAAGATGGCGGGAGTCGTGAAAGAGGTCTTGACTATTAGTTATCATCGAGTTTTTTTTCTTCGTACAGTTGCTGTCGAGATCACGATAATTGCTACAAAAGTCTCCGGCTGTCTGGCGCTTGTGGCGTTATCGATCAGCAGTTGCCTCTTACAATCTACGCAAGGCCTTATTCATTCAAAGAATGCACAGTTTGTGGTAAGTAAAGCTGCGATCATGCGATTAACTATATGGCCAAAAATGGACCAACACGGGAAATCCCGAGCGGCGTGGAATGGGATCTATTTTTAAACCTCAGTAAATCATGTGAATGACCATGCAGTGAAATCTTCCCTATTCCCCTCCCATACGCAAGAAACCCGCTCTTCTTCGCAATTACTACAAATATATCTTTTACTTTTCAGAACCGGCTTCTCATTACAAGCAAGATGGAGAGTGTCTCTACGGGCTGTGCAAATGTGACGCTGACGCGGCCAAGTGTTTCGCTAAGTATGAGGATAAATACAACGAGAAGTTTAAGTTTTATCCAAAAATTTTCTGTTAAAAAAGGAAAAAGAAAATAATTGAAAGGCTTTTGTAAGGTTATTTTTTGGTCAGTACTTTTGTCCGGTACTGACGTTGCAATTGTATTTGATGTCGATCAAGGTGACAATCTTACTTTAATATAGGGGAATTTTTTGGGATCGTCTTAAAAAACCTATCCTCAAAGACAGAACATTTTTCTCGGTCTGTTGCTTTTCTTTTCTTTTACTGGAGATTTATTACTGCCAGACTAGTATTATTTCAGTGAGAAATATTTTCGCCAATACTCCGAAGTTTGTGTTTTATTTCTTCTGCGCAATTTAGCATAACAGTAAAACTGATCATGTCATAAGTGTTCCAAGGGACGTATCGGCCACAAGGGAGGTTCCCGGCAGTTGAGGGGTGAATGTGTTAAGGGAACTCCGCTTTTTGGCTTGGCCATATATAACAACAGGAGCCCATAACTTATTGGCTCCTGATAACAATAATGATTATGTTGTGAGCGCTGTTGGGACATGAGACAGACAGTTAAATGCCTTTTTTTTGGAAATTATTCACGCCCAAGAAACGGGGGGAATAAAACAGAGTTGACTCCATCAATCACTTTTTAAGTTAAGTCGTTTTTTTTTCACCTGTTTATCCTACTTTTTAATTCGATGCCTTATAATTTTCCGTTAAAATATACCGTACCATGCAAACATAAGCTTCAGGCAGATTGTTTTACTTTTATATTATAAGTTGTCGTGTCTATGTAATAAAGCCTTGAAATCATATTCTTGTCCCGGTCATTTTCTGCTATAAGTTGTTTTCTTGCATTGATGTCTACGAAATTAAGAAGTTTGAGGATAAATAAGCTGATTATGATAAAAAAATCTGTGCCATCCTCTCCCCCGGGCTCAGGTAGGAGCGTCCTGAGGATGGTCAAAACATCGTTTTCTTTATTCCTGTAGACGCAATAGAAAACGACTTTGATTTCACTTTACAATTAAATTTGTAAAATGCTAAATATGATGCGCTAAAGTGCAAACGGTCGAAAACAATGCTGGTTTGGAGGCGGAGCGTTTCATGCGTTTTTGTTCGACACGAACACAGCGTTTTTTGCAAATTCATTAGCGTGAACAAGTGAGTTGAAAATAGTTGAGTCCGAGTTGAAAATAGTCCAAATTGCTTCAACATTCTCTGTAAACCACAGGCGGCCCAAGCTCGGTGCATAAATCACCGTGAGTTTCGATACTGTTTTGCATATTACGAACGATTTAAAGACTTTGTATGATAAATTCAATATAGTTGTTTAAACGTAGAAATATAGGCATGAATATAGAAAAAAATTCTTTGATGCGGGAGAGATTTGTGAGTTGAGACTGCACCCAGTCGCCTGCCTTGCTTCGCTTTGTGTAGGAAAACAATACCGAACAAACAACGAGTCAGAAAACCGTATAAAGTGGCCATAAATTAAGCCCAGCTTACACAGAAAAAGCAACAACAGGCCTTATTTAGTTTACGTAAGTACAATTTATTCTATATTTATGCCTATATTTCTATGTTTTAACAACTATATTGAACTTTTCATACAAAGTCTTTAAATCGTTCGTAATATGAGAAACAGTATCGAAACTTGCGGTAATAAATGCACCGAGCTTGGACCGCCTGTGCAGACAGTTAAAATAAAAAAAAATTCTTCAAACAAATTTTAAGAAAAAGAAAAAAAAATCATCAAAGTTGGCTCATAGACGACAATCATATCTTCATTTAAATTTGTATTTTCGCAGTTCAAATCATCATTCTAAGTTTCATTCTTTTCAAGGGTTGAGATGAACTGAACAAATTGGCCTGCTTCTAATGTATGGGTCTTCATCAATTCGTTAGACTAACGCATGCGCAGAGGCCATGGCTTCGAATCCCGTTGGAATCCCCAATTTTTTTTCGGGTTAATTTGCAATTGCTTAAATTGCAATTTCCACTGCCACGATCATATCTTCATTTAGAGTTGACTCCATCAGTTTTTAGGTTATTTCAATCGCTTTATTTCACTTGTTTTTCATGTATCACTCTGTAATGCAAATGCCCTTAATTTTCCATTTTAAATATACCAAGCAAACTTGCTTCAGGCATATTGTTTTACTTTTAATGCACGTAGGTCATCGTGTTTATGCAATCAGTAAAGCCTTAAATATAAATGATTTCCTTGTCCCGGTCCGTTTTCCGTGCTGAGCAGTCGTTATCTTGGTTTCTACGAAAGTAAAAACGATTGAGAGTAAACAAGTTGCATCGAACACTTTGTTGCCCTGATTTGACTTCATCAGTCCAGACAATGGTCAAAATTTCGCTTTCTTCATCGTGGTAAACGCAGAAGAGAAGAGAAATTTAAATCAAATGTATGAAATGTTCATATGATGCGCTAAATGGCTTAGTGCGCATGGTCGGAAACGACGCGAAAATGCTAAAGTATGGAGCGGAGTGTTCGACACAATTTGTTCACGAAAAGGAGTTTAATTTTTCGCAAATGCATGAGGTGGACGAATTGCCTTAGAAAATCCGATTTGCGTGGACATTTAACACACAGAGTGATTTTGAGGTCTATTGCATCAAGCTGTTCATTATTGTTGCATTTGTAACGCTCGGGAGACTGACATATTTGTCTGTGGTAATTCTTTTATTTAGGAGCAGTTTCTTTGCTAACAACTTAACGTAATGAAAGTAATTGGCAAAGCTACCTGGCAAAGTAAACTATATATTATTAATTATACTGTCGCGACTCGGAGCCTCACTTCACCAAGGATGAAACCTGATTCGTTTTGAGAGCAAATTGTTCGTTTTTTCATCTCACGATACGATTAGATTGTTTAAATCTCCCGAGCGTTTAGGAGGTAGGGCAAGGGATCTGGCGATCACATGAAAATTTAGTTTTATATTATCTTAACCTACAACACGCCCCGAAAATTTCGGAATAGAAGCTCATGCACACTGAATGATTTACCTGAAGGTTTAGTAAGGACACATGTTGCATGTTTTAGGACATCGTACTGCCATGTCGTCTGGATGTTGCCTGCAATAATCAGGCGTACCATAACGTTCACACAAAGGATTGGTGTCTTCGCAAGCTGCAAAAGCGTGTACATGTTGCAGTAAGCTTCAAGAAATTAATTGTATTTAAAGGGGTTATATCACGAGAATATTGCTTTTTTCTAAATAATTCTGTATCAAAGTCATTGAATAGTGCCTTTAACCATGCATAAAATATTCCTGTAGTTTTATAAAGAAGATACCATACAAATTTCATCAGTGAGCACTAACCCACACAATCATATAGTTGACCCAACCGGGTGTAGACAAAACGTGGACCCTCCCTTCTGGACCCCTTTTTTTTGAAATAAAAAAATAAATAAAAATAAATAAGTAAATATAAATTTATAAGGAGTTTGTTGTTCACATAGCCGAAGTAGGCGCGAGCAGTCGTCTTGTTTAGCAGTACGCAAAGTTTTGCGGATACTGGCGATATATTCGTTTGTCAGCCAAGCATAAAAATTTTATTTGTATCTTGGAGGCACTTTATCCGGTCACCTTTCGAGTTTCATGGTAAAATGTGCA